GCTGGATTATATGAAGAAGAATGTGGCATCAGGATTGGAGGAAGACTCATTAAAAACCTGAGATATACAGATGATAAAACCTTGCTTGCTGAAAGTGAAGAGGACTTACAATACTTACTGATGAAGATCAAAGACCACAGTCTTCAGTATGGGTTGCATCTCCATGTAAAGAAAACAAATATCCTCACCACTGGAGCAATAAACAACATGCGTATCAATGGAGAAAAGATTGAAGTTGTCAAAGACTTCATTTTGCTTGGATCAAACATCAACAGTCATGGTAGTAGCAGTCAAGAAATCAAACGACATATTGCATTAGGCAAATCTGCTGCATAAGACCTCTTGAAAGTGTTGAGCAAAGATGTCAGTTTGAGGACTAAAGTGCATGTGATCATGGTATTTTCAATAATCTCATATGCATGTGAAAGTTGGACAGTGAATAAGGAAGACCGTGGAAGAATTAATGCATTTGAGTTATGGTGTTGGAGGAGAATACTGAAAGTATCATGGACTGCCAAAAGAACAAACAGATGTGTTGGAAGAAGTACAGCAAGAGTGCTCCTTGGAAGCCAGGATGGTCAGACTTCATCTCTCATACTTCAGACATATTATCAGGAGAGACCAGTCACCAGAAAAGGATATCATGTTTGGTAAAGTGGAGGGTCAGAGAAAAAGAGGAAGACTCCCAACAAGATGGGTTGGCACAGTGGCAGCAGCAACAGGTTCAGGCATATCAATGATTGTGAGGTTGGTGTGGGACTGGGTAATGTTTCATTCTGTTGTACATAGGGTCACTATGAGTTAGTTCGATGGCCTCTAACAACAACAATTTTTTTATATTTATACTTTGTACATTTCTTCACATTCTGATTATTAATGGGTATTTTGTTGCTGTTTCTATTTGAGTTGTGCCCCATCAGCAAATGAAGGCCTTGAAACCTTTCCTGCATCCATGTCATTCAGGTCGACTGTATTTTGAGGAGACAGCTCTAACTCAGTTGTGTCTTGATTGCCTTACAACTAAAGGGCTCTTCTTTTGGCACTGTTATCAAACAATATTTTGCACTATTCATAAGGTTTTCATGGACTAATCTCGGTTTCTGGTGTGGCGTTATATGATAAGCACTGGACTGCTAACCTAAAGGTCGGGAGTTCAAACCAACTGACTGTTCTTCAGAAACTCAATACAGGATTGCAATGAGTTGTAATTGACTTGACAGCACTTAACAACAATCCCTCAGAAGTGGACCACCTATTCTTTCTTCATAGTCTGTTCTTAGTCTGAGGTTCTATTGAAACCTGTTCGGCATGGGTGACCCTGCTGGTATTTGAAACACCAATGGCATAGCTCCCAGCATCATAGCAAAATACAAGTCACTATAGTATGAAAAATAGACAGAGGTGTGGGGCATGAAATTGTTAGGCAGAAACAAAGTTTTGGTAATATAATGAACACCTGTAGTTCCATCACCCAGTGTAAAATATGAAACATTACTGAAACAATTGAAGAATCCCAACTTTTCTTCCATGAGAAAATTACTCCTAGTAGTTGGCTGTTTTCTTTGTCATTAATATCTTACCCTAGTCATGTCTCCTTATATATATATAATTTTGCATGCTTTAAACTATAAATATCATTAAACATTATCTTATGAAATGATCATTTTTTGCTCAGTTTTGTTCTAAGATTCACCCATTTTACATGAACCACTAATTATTTTGTACTGCCATAAATATTACACATATGGCTATTTCATATTAATTTACTCTCCTATTGATAGAGTCCTGGTATGGTGCTGCAAGATAAGCACTGGGATTGACTTAGCAGTCCAGGAGCGGAGGTCCCTGGGACCATCAAGGGAGAAGAGCAGATAGCGAGACCCTACCCAGAGAAGCAGTGACACCAGAGATGGAGGCAGAGACGATGACGTGGAGAGATGGAGCGGCTGGGGACTCTAGACTCAGAGAGGGAGAGGGGCTGTATGTTGACGACCAGGGGGCAGGCTTGTTTGTTTGATGATGCATGGAGGGGATTACAACCATAGCAATGAAACGATATTCGATAGGATGAATGTAAAGCTAATGTTCTCCCATGTAAACTAACATAAAACATTAAAAAAAAAAAAAAAAGATAAGCGCTGGACTTCAAGATCAGTTTGAACCACAGGACAGTTGGTTAAAACTCACCAGCTGCTGCTCCTCGGAAACCATATACAGAGTCGCTATGAGTTGGAAATGACTCGATGGCACTTAACTTAATTGATGGATATTTAGATGGCTTCCAGTTCCTTACTATTTAACTAGTGATATGAACTTCGTTGTCTTATGTTACTGTAATGTGAGAGTTGCTGAGATATACAAGTAGTCCCTGACTTACGACATATTCAAGTTGTAACAAAGTGCACTTGTTAAGTGCCTTTGAATTGGTTCTGACACACAGGGTTTCCGAGGAGTGGCTAGTGGGTTTGAACAGCCGACCTTGAGGTTCAAATTGATCTTTCAGTCCAGTTCATTATTCTGCAGCTACACACCAGGACTTACTGATGTTGTCATTCTCACAAAGAGGTGATGTTGATGTCTGGTTTCAAAGCATTTAAAAATAGAATCATGCTGATAATAAAAGGCAATGATAATGGAAACTAACAATAAAAAAAATAATGCAGTATTCAACTTAACGTCAGAACTGACTTAAAAAGGAGTCACTGGAATGAAACCCTGTTGTAAACTGGGGAGTAACTGTAGACCTAGGGATAGAGTGTTAGATTATAGACTCTTCAATATTACTATATACGCCAATTGCTTTCTGAAGTGACTATAAACGTGTGTTCCCATCAACAGTGTATGTGTGGCCCACTGTTCCACAGCTTTTAGAATTCAAAGCTCTTTACAAACAGGACTTCAGCTGTTGGAAGTTATTGTGACTGGGTTGCAGATATTTCCTTTTAACTGGTACAACTATTAGTTACCTCAAGGATATTGCTATCTTGAATTCATATTTTCATTTAATTTCTAAGTATTGAGGCTCTAGATCACAAAGACAGTTTGAATTAAACTCCAAAGCTTTGGGTAGGCAAGTCTCTAGTCAGAATTCTCAGGCCATTTTTTTTTTTTTAAATCCTCAAAAGAAGTTCCTTATAGCTTTCCCATTCAGTGAGAAAGTTTCTTTTCTTGTTTACTTTTATACTAATGGTGCTGCTCTTTAAAGATCTGGGCATTATATGTGCGACTCTGTTGTAATTTCATATGGCATATGGCCTGGCAGCGTTGAGTGGTCATTACCTTCTAGACTCCTTGTTGACTGAGATTGCTATCCTCCTCCCCAATACTCAGTCCCCAGCCTGAGAGTCTCAGTGTCCATTCAATTTTACCATTCTACTTTTTACTGTACTGAGAATGGGATTTCATCTGTTTTCTTTTGGGGGGCCCTTAGGGTTAAGATTTCTCTTGTTTTCTTGTGCCTTTAGCTGTGTATTTATAAGTCAGAAGTTAAGGTCCTTATTTTCATAATTTTCTATAAACACCCAGAGGGAAAATGGAAAAATTTATTTCCATAATCTATTTATTGCAATGTGTTAGCCTTATTTTCTAAATCAGTGGTGTCCAATAGAGTTTCCTTTAGTAACGGAAATGTTCTCTAACCTGCCCTGTCCAATACGATAGATACTTGTCCCACCTGGCTACTACTGAGCACTTGACATATAGCTAACGTGATTGTTGAACTGAATCTTAATTTTATTTATTTTCATTAATAAAATTAAAATCTCAATATTAATATGTGAGCAGTGTCTACTATACTGGACAGCACAGTTTAACTGAAGTACTATTCTTGGTCTTCTGCGTGGCTTTATGTAACAGTAAAACAAAATTGTCTAAAAATGAAAAAGAGAAAACCTTGCAAATCAATTTCTGATTGTCAAGAGATGCAGCAGTTGAGACATGACTTCAGCAATATCTGCTACCACAAAGCTACCTAGCTTATTATTTTGATAATCAGGCATTTCTCACCTGACTTGTTTTACTGGGTATTTTCGAAGCTGTACAGTGACCAGGTTTAAATGCACATTCTTTCCTTGCCAGCTTATGAACTGGAAGTCATGTAATCATTTTCCAACAGTGTTTCCAAGAGTATTAAAGTGTCAAGAAATCCTAAAGATAAATAACTAAGACTATAAATACTGCAACAAGACAAATGATTAAGAATACAATTTGGTTTATCTTTGAACTCAAAACGTTTACTGGTAACCTGAAAATGTGTACAAGTTAAAACACGAACACTTCATATGGTTTATATGTTTGTTTTTTTTTTGGGTGGGGGGGAAGAGGGGATAATAACCAAAAAAACCAAAAATCAAGCCCCAAACAAGCCTACTGTTCTTACAATGACTGGGCTTACATTTCCAAATTTTCAAGCTTTCAAATGATGTTATATTAGATGAAATAATTCTTAAAAATCTTATTTTGCCATCAGTATAGGTTAAGAAGGTTCATAGCAAAAATATAAGTGTGAATTATAATGAGAACGAATATATATTTGGAAACAAAGCTACCTAACTTTGGCTGTCACATGTGGTCACTTCACTGGCTGGCCATCCAAAATAAGGACTTCATCCTGTTACTCTTATATAAAATCTATGTTGAAAAGTTTAGCATTTAGGAAGGCACTGAAACAGATTCTGGAGTAAGGAAAGCATTAAATGGGATGAACTAACCAGCTTACAGATGAAAAAGCTAAAGGTTTGTTTTTTTCAAAACCAGTACACATTTCTATATGAAATTGACTAAACTCATGTTCAGAGACATTTTTTTCATTGTAACTGTAACCATATTATTTAAAATGTCTGTAAGGACTATAATAACATATTCCAGACATTTTATCTATTAATGATTTTTTTTTGGACACTCTGAAATGAAAATTAAAACACAAGCAAACAAACGAAATAACTCAAAATTTTCTGTAGAACAAGAAATTGCACAAAATGAAAATAGTACACACAGTTTCTTCACAGTGTATGTAGCCCACTCTTCTCTTGATAATCTTCGTAAAAATGTCTCAATGATTCTGGAATTCTAGGTGTTACAGTACTCAAGGCTTGAGTAAAATGTCTTTTCATAATGCACTTGGCTCGAATGTCTTCTTCCAGAGCCAGAAGGGCTGCCTCTCGACACACAGTTATAATCTACAACAGAAAAAAAAAAAAAAAAAAAAAAAAAAGGTGGAGGAATAAAACAATCAATATTCTTTTTTGTTGTTGTTATGTGCCGTGGAGTCAGTTCCGACTCATAGCGACCCTGTACAGGGTTTCCGAGGCTGTAAATCTTTATGGGAACAGAAAGTCTCATCTTTCTCCCACGGAATAGCTGGTAGTTTCCAACTGCTGACCTTAAGGTTCACAGCCTGATTCGAAACCACTAGGCTACCAGAGCTCCTTATATTCTTTTTTTTTTTAGAAAGTTAATATTATAAACACTCATCTGTGCTAAGCATATTGCTAAAATTTATCTGCAAGTTATTCCACTTAAGATTTTGGAAAGGATGAAAAGCAATCATATACAGAACATCTTGTTCATTTGTTCATTCATTTATTCCCAAACAGCTAACTACAAGAGCTTCAAAATGCTCTTAGAGGTTGAATAGGCATGCATGCATGTACATACTTTTAATACACAGCAACAAAGGATGAGTGTGTAAGTCTTGCGGCGGTAGGGGTGGGGGAAGTGGGGGTGGGGAGAAGTAGAAACCAAGTGATAAGGGAAGGCAGAGGAAGGAGCTATCCTGATATGGAGCGATACCTTGTTCATCGGCACACCTTGCCATAGCATGAAATTTCTACATTCCTTTCAACCTTTGATGTATCACCAACATGTAAAAGCATTTCTTAATGTGATCTCTTAAGTCCTGGGAATATCAGATAGGGTTGTCTACGCTTATTTTGGAAAACTGTATTAGAACAGAGAAATTTTTGTTGACATGGTAAGGTAAGCTGGAAGAACGGAAAAGAATCTGGGGATCAGGTAGGAGTGGCTGGCTGAGGGAGGGGGGATAGAGTAGGCTGTAGGAAAACGGAAGGGGAGGAAGGTTCAAGTCTCAAATCCTGAAATGTGTTTCTAAGCTCTCTGGACTTCAGACAGCGGAAGCAGGCTGATGCCAGTGTCATTCTAAAGACACATTACTGTGGTGAAAAGAGCTCGGGGGATGAAAAGAGATATTGTGATTTTCAGGGCAACAGGGAAAACAGTGATTGATATTGACTGCACCCTTATATCAGTCAATGAAAGGGCCAGCTGAAACACATTTGTCCAGCCATTCAGCATATTTTCTCTGTTTGTTCACTTACTGAAAAGAGTTCCTCTGCTTATGCTGGGCTAATGGCTGCCAAAGCAGTTTAGTAGCTTTTTAAGGGATTTAGCAGCATGTTTAGGGAGCTTTCAAAAAAAAAGATAAAAAGCATAGATTTAGATGGCTTTGTCAAATTACGACAATGTAACTATTTTAGTTCTGTGCTTCCTTAATGAGCACTGAAGTTAACGATAGTGGTTATGCATATTAATACTTTCAGAAAAAAGAGTTGTTACCAAGTTGTTGAAGGCAAAAACAAGACTTCCTGGGATTAGTAAAACCATCTCATCACATATTCTGGTACATAAAAGTTATTTTGAAAACAAGAATGTAACAGTTAGTAAGTCCAGTAAAAGCCCATGAAATGCCCAGTATGGTAAACTATGCAGTGGCTTCACTGGATAACCATTGGGATCCTGAGGGTTTCATGAAGAGGTGAAAGGACTGATTGTGGAGACCACCCAACCCCTCATCTGAGCAGCTCTTCTTTCATCTGTGGAAGGATTTGGGGGAAAAACTGGAAGAGGCACAGAGAAGTGCATTTCCTGTGTGTTAATGGAGTTTTCTCTCTGAGGCAATAGAGGCAATGTTTCCATCCTGTGACTCCCTCCTCAGAGTAATAACTGCTCCTGTCCCAATGTCTAGTTTTACATACTTCATAACTAATAATTATCCTAAAAAATTCAGTAACTGAAAACCTGATGGAGCATAATTCTACTCTGATAGGATTGCCGTTAAGTCACAATTGATGGCAAGTGGATTTGGGTTAATAATTAGTCATTATTTCCTCAATCAGCATCTATTGAATAGCTAGCTGCACAATAACGGTGAGAGGCCAGCTAGAGGATCCAAAGATTCATTCACCAACCGGTCGGGGTTGGACAAGAGTTACCTACAATGTATGGCACAGTACTAGAAGTGCCATCAGAGAGGGAAAAGGAAAGTTCTTTGGGTGCAGTGAGAAGGGAGCCATTACTGCCAACTGGGGGAAGGCTCTATACATCTAAATTCCAGAATTTAGATATGCAGACGTGAGAGGAGATGGCATCCTGAGTAAAAGAAAACAAGTGAGTAATCGAGATCGCAAGAAGTTCATGGCGTTAGCCTTAGTAACCAAAACAGAGAACAAAAAGAAAGTGTAATCCTTTCATCAAAACATCATTAAATATAGTTTTCAGAAGTCACACGGCTACAATGACAGTGAAGGGTAGTCCATGACAATCATCTCTGATGTTCTTAAATCAAAGCAGTGGGCTCATAAATGGCTGACAAAGCATCAACTCCTAAAGGCTTCTTTTTCTATATCATTTTTCCTCATGAAAGGGCTTCTTAATAGAAATTCCAAAAGGAAAACTACAAATTAGATTATTGGTTCTTGTCTACTAATCCACATAAAAAGGTCTTGGTGGTACTGTGGTTAAACATTCAGCTACTAAGTGAAGTTGGCAACTGAGCCTACCAGCTGCTCTGTGGGAGAAAAACGTGGCAGCCTGCTTCCATTAAGATTGTTGTTAAATGCTGTTGAGTTGGTTCTGATTCATAGAGACCTTACATAGGGTTTCCAAGGAGCGGCTGGTGGGTTTGAACTGCCGGCCTTGGAAACCTCATGGAGTTCTACTCTGTCCTATAGGGTTGCTATTGGTCAGAATCAACTTGAAGGGAATTTCAAAGACGTATCCTTAGGCCATCCATTTCATGATGGTTGGTTTCTATTTACTCAGATAGCCACTTATTTTGATATGAGCTTCAAGTTATGATGAGCTAAATATTCTTCAGGAAAAATGCAGTTTTCCTGCTTAAAAACCGTCGGCAGGTTTTATGGCCAATGTTAGTGTTTCCCTTGGGATATTAGGGTCTATTCAGGGGAAAATGTATTGCAAGATGAAATAAATTTTGGGAACTTGTGTAAATACTCTACTCTCCACAATGCACAGCATTCTGAAGATGTTGTAAAGCCTACTAATGAAGATGTTTATTTTGTTGAATCATAGAACTCTCTCCCACTTCCCCATTTCTTGGCAGAACACTAATCTTGGCAGATAGGAGGTTTGGTTTTGGCATTCCAGGAGAGAGAAAAGGGAAGGAGGTAAGGAACCTAAGTAATAGGCATATTTAAAGGCTCAGAAGATGAAAAGAAGGCTAAGTAGAAGGAAGACCAGGCTGTGTAATGGAAGCAAAGCCTGAGCACAGTTATAGCACTTACATGTGCCCAGTATATGTAAATAATCAATACATATCTGGTGAATTGAACTCAATAGTTTCTTAAAGAAAAGTTTTCAAAGTGTATGCTGTGTATTTATTTTCCATATTTGGGCAATATCCTGTGGCACTTTTTATTTTTGATATGATCCAGACTGTGTAAGTTATGCTTTTGGAATGACAATAGGTCAGTAACAAAACTTTTCTAACATTGTGATATATGATTAGCTCAAGCAATGTTTTCATTTAGGGCACTACTTTGAATATAGATGTTTTCCTTAAAATAATATAAATGAGAAATTTTATTAAAAATGTACTAGTGTTATTTTTGAGGAATGTTTCTTTAATTTACATCACAGTTTGTTAGATAGGGACAGGGACCTTTTGGCTGTGTTGTGATAGAAAAAAACATCTTGGAACTGAGAAAGATTCCAGAAAAATGTATAGACAATGCAAAAATAAATACTGATTTGGAACACTGACATGAAAGCTTTGATTAAAAAAAAAAAGAAGAAAAAAGGTGGAAATGGTGAACTATTGTCTCACTTGATTTAACTATCTAGGATCAAACAGTTGTCCAGGTACAACTTTCTAAAGCTTTCTCTGTGAGCTTTAGAAAGATGAGGTCTTCTTAGGTTAATTTGCCAGCACATCTCTCTCTATTTGGTAATAAATACAACAGAAACCTGATCAAGAAGATGGCACAGGACCGGGCAAAATTTTGATTTGTTCTACATAAGGCTGCTATGAGTCAGAGTAATGACAACAACTAAATAAACTGGGAAGAAGGGTTATTACTATTTATAAAGCTTACAAGAAAACCTAATGAGATTAAGTGTATGTGTATGTATACCTGGATGTGCACACACACATACAACATATAGAGGGACCACAAATGTTCATCATTGTTGGCATTACATTCAAAACCAGATGGAGTCTGGGACTGTTTCAATGATAAGGAATTCACTTGAATTTTTCCCATGAGGCTACACTGAGAGGATGTGTACATGAATAGGCGAATTTGAATCACAGACTGTCTGGAATGCTAAACGAACCCGTTTAAAAAGAAGACTTTTGGCTACTTGAGCTCCTTAATTTCTTTGGCAAAAAGGATTTTGGAATCTTTCCCCTAATCCCTTCACCATCTTGTCTTTTATTTCTTCATAGGCCACAAACCAGATCATTTAAGTGAATTATTAGCCAACTACCAGCAAGGTTGCTTTTGCCATTAGGCAGTGAAGGCAAAAACGTTTCGGTATTTGGCTGGCTTTGTAGAGCTAAGAGTGTGTATTCAGTGTTCCTAGTCTATTTTGACTGAAAATCAGACACCTAAGCTTTTAGATTATATATGCAGCTTGCTATAAAGGTTAAAATAATGTATGTTTGGGAAAATGAGAAAAAGAGACAAAAGGTTAGCAGACTGGGCCTCAGATCTCACTCTCAGAACTAGAGCAAGCTATGTTGTCATTTTGGAGACCATGTCACTCATTTATTTGTCAATGCCAAAAATTCTCTTCTGATACCATCAACAGTTATAATATATTTGACTATCAGATAGCTGACAGATATCATAAAACAATAAGAAAGAATGCTCTCTGAAAGATTTTGGTATATTTGAGATGAGTTCTTAAGAAGTAAGAG